AGCAGTGAGGAGGTGAAGAAAAGGGATAAAACCACTTTGTTTTGTTTAATAAAAGAGTGTGCATTTTCTTTACTCAACACACTAAATCCATAGGAAGGTGCCAGTACTCTCCTTATTTTTTTAGGTAAGTGATAAACTCTGGGCTTGTCGGCAAATAGCGTATAAGAACTATTTATAAATAACAAGTGCTCGGCCCCTGTGATAAGTGATAAACTCTAAGGAAGTTAGTAGATAACGTATAAGAACTACCTCTAAATAACAACAGCCGAGTTACAGAGCTTAAGGATTATTTTCCAGACTGTTTTTACCTTTACAGACACTTGTATTTTTTAAGAATTTTGAATTTTTGTGAAAAAAAAGTGATTGTCAGAAAGAGTTCTGAAAATCGATTTTGATTAAGAAATATTAAAAAACATTAAAAAACATTAAAAAATAATAAGAAATAATAAGAAATTATATATAATTAATAATCTGCTAGTAAATTTTTACTTTACAAAACTCTTTCCGACGATCATTTGAACCAAAATTTCCCACTAAAAGAAAAACAGTTTTGTTGGAGAGTCATGGCCTAATGTAGCGGTTTGTCTAGAGATTAACGCTTGCTGTATACGGGACTCCTCTATAAGATATTCGGCATGCAAGCCAAGAGCGTTATTGTACAAGATAACTGGCAAGAGGTGGCGCCCTTGTACGAAAAATCTTGGTGGAGAGATGAATGCCAAAAGAGCCTCTGGTCTTCTCCGTCAATGAAGCTCTTAAATTGTTACTTCAAAGAAAAACACAGGGGAAACAACAAATATTGTTTTTCAAGCCGCACTCCTTTTACTTGGTCAAATGGTCTCTTCTCTACCTTTTCTTGCCTCCCTGCCGGTCTTCCAAAAAATTTTCGACAAAAAGTGGAGATTTGGCTTACCCCCTCCAAAAGATCAGCATTGTTTACATCCCAATTTGGAACAACATAGTAGACTACAACTATGTGTTTGACAGATACGGTGCTACTATTTAGAATCAGGCCCTAGGCAACAAACTTCTAGTGACGGCAGCAGGTAGCTTGAGATACAGGTCTTCGAACGGCGGCAGCACCTGGCTTGAGATACGGATTAGGACGGGCTAAACGAATCTATCCGGAATTAGTCGGAAAGAAAATCGAACGATAAGGCGAAGCTTTACAAGAGAGATATACAACTGTTGTAGTTGTTATATAATTTTTTAGTAGCCTTGTATGGGTTATAATAGTGCCTTTAGGATTTTAGATTTCTTTTTATGTTTTTTCTTTTTTGCAATCAGTGTTTTTTTTTTCTTTTCTGTTTTTTCATTTTTTCATTTTTTGGTCGTTTTCGTAAACTTTTTTTGTTAAAAATTTCTCTTTTTTGTCTTGTGCTCCTTGAGAAGAAGGAAGAATTAGAAGGGAAAAAGGGATCCTGACGCGGTATACAATAACCTGTTAATGATCTTTGGGGGGTATCCATTGTACAATACAAAATTCGAAGTAAGTTTTGAATCCTGGGAGAGACTAATAGTTGTTATAGCAGGTCGTATTGGGCATTATGCTTGGTGAGTCTTTATTAGATTAGAACAGTAATATGAAAGATGTTATATGAGTGCCTGTTTGTATAAATTTTTTATAGTTCACATGAATAAAGGCAGAATCACTTAAAAAAAAATAATAATAATAATAATCTGCTAGTTAGAGTTTCTCAAAGTTAAATCAAATTTAATATTAGATATATTTGAATTTGATCAAATCAAATAAGCTCTTGATTTGAATTTGATTTGATCAAATCAAATCAAATCAAATCAAATTTATTTGTAATTTTTATTAAATATTTTCAAATCGAATCAAATATTTTGTTAATTTGAATTTGATTTAATTTGAAATTTCTGTATTTGAATTTGATTTGAGATCAAATATTTGATCAAATCAAATCAAATCAAATTGCAGAACCCTAGTCTTATACTTCTTGAGAAGAAGAAAGAATTAGAAAAAAAAAAAGATCCTAATATGGTATTTGTCAGTGATCTTGAAAAAATCTTTGTCATTACAAAATTTAAAATTAGTTTTGAATTTCAGGAGAGACTAATAGTTGTTTTAGCAAGTCGCTTTAGGTATTTAGCTTGGAGAGTTATTAGAATAGAATAATACACTATAATAATGCAATAAATATTATATAATAGTTCACAAAATAAATAAAAGCAAGATTACTTTAAAAAAAAAATACTATCCTTCTTAGTAATAATATAGCAAAATAACAAGATCACCTGTTGCAGTAATATACTTTATAAATATATATAAGGTAGATATAAAGTATATACTTTTACTTTATAGCAGAAGACAAATAGTTTAAGATAATAATATAGTTTTACTCTAGAGAGAAAATATTATATTACATAAATATAAAATAGATAAGAGAAGAATAAAGTAAAGCTAGATTCTATAAAAAATTAGAAAACTCTGATTTAAGTAAAAGAGAAAAAAGGCTTCTTTTTTATATATGAGAATAAATCAATAAAAAAGAACCAAATTTTTTCTAAATAAAAATTTTTTTGACTTTAAGCTTAAATATTTTGACAATTATTTTATCAAAGTTAATTCTATATAATTTCAAAATTAAAATAAAAAATTTTTAACAAATTTGATTAAAAACTTGTTAAGATATTTTAATTTAAAATTAAAAAAATTTCACTAAAAATGATTTGTCTCTTTTCTATTAACTCACTCTCATATAGAAACCTCAACAGCAAAAAATAGCAATAAACCAAAATTTTTATTTTGTAATTTTATTAAAATTATATACCTATTACTCTAATTTTTCAAAAAATTAGATTTTTAAAAAAAAATTTTTTTTGGTTTATTGCCACCTTTTGCTATAGAGGTTCCAATATAAAAGATATAACAAATTAATTTCCAAATATATAAAGATAGACAAAGGCAAGTGTAAAGATATTTGAAGACATTTGTACAGAGGTATCTAAGGTACATGTAGACAGTGGACCAAAAATGTGGCTTAGCAGATACCAATGAACAATGTCCATTGACATCTTTTTTGGAGACCATCATAGTCTATTGCCAACCCTGCATGTAGAGATACTCAGAGATACTTGGTATAAAGATACTCAGAGGTACTTGGTGTAGAGGTACTTAGAGGTATTTGGTGTAAAAATACTTGGTGTAGAGGTATTTAAAAGTACTTAGAGGTACTCATGTTGTGTCTTGTATTACCTAGATTATAAGTTGGTGTAATATACACGGAACTGAGCTTTACTAAAAAAAAATTATATAGAAAGTTATAGTGATTCGAAAAAAAAAAATTTCAAATCCTTTATATAAGAATTTTTTTTATAATTTCAAGAAAATTTGTAAAAAGTTTTAGCGTTTTAAAAAATACTATGTTTTTTGGTGTAGTAATTTAAATACATTAATTTTATTGGTCAACCACTGTCACGAGAAAGTTGAACCATCTGAGATAAGTTTTAGTAACGGCTTGTAATATGTGTTCACGACGACACTGCGAGTCTTATCGCCGGATCTTTGCGAAGCTAATATCGAGAAAGTCTTCCTTGCTGCATCTAAGAAAGTCCACACCTAAAATTTTTACGCAATAATTCAAAATGTGACTCAGTGAATATTCTATTAGTTTCTCGGTGTCATATTCTTTAATACCAGCAAAATCTTTTCTATCCCATAAATACTGCACTATACTACATCAGCGCATATTTTTACTTTCATCGCTAAGCAAAAATGAATACAAACGTTATTTAGGTGCAAAGATAACCATTGTCGTTATGCATACAAGAAATCAGAAGATTTATGAAATAATACTTAGCATTTATTATTATAATAGATAAATACGTACGACGGTGGAGATATCGATACCTGATATACGTATATACGTACAATACGTACTAAAATCCAAATTTAGATATATATGTATATATTATACGTATATTTATATATATGATAATTGGTTTAATTATTACTGAATGTAAAATTTTGATTTAACTCAATGCAAATCAGTTAGTTCTATGCATCTTAAAAGAAGAGGCAAAAAATTCTATATAGTTATTGCATACGAAGTATGCAATAACGGTTTTATTTTATGCTTTACTATCTCAGATTTATGAAATAGTTCAATTATTTTATCATTTAAAAATACCATAAAATAATTGATTTATTTTATAAACTGATCATAGTGAAGTATTAAATAATAATAAATATTCATTTATATTACTGTTTGTAACGATGTACTGTAATTACCCGATAAGTTACACGTTGCAAAAATTAATTAAAAAGATGTTTAAGTCTAACCATCATTTAATAACGAGTCTAACCATCATTTAATAACGAGTCTAACATCTAGTAATGTCTTAAATAAAACAATGGCAAATACGTACAGAATTGAAGGATGCAAGAAATTTCTAAACGGAAGCAGTTGCAACAATACTGATACTACAAGATAAACAGATTAGTTTTTACGTAGAAGTTTGCACATACAGTATATGTTAGGGATTAGTATTTAGGATTATATTTAAGAGTTTTTGGAAGCATAGAGCATTTTTACTTAAAGTACCACATGCTGATTGATTAGCCAGTTTTTGAGATAATGTATACATAGGTGTAAAACACCATAGATGATGCATTTTAGTAAAAGTGAAGCTTTTTTATAACATTGCAATAATATATTATAAATATCTTAAAAAATTATTCTATAAGATTCGTTATAAAGAGGAAGAATCGGCTATTAAAAAATTTACATACATTGAAATTTTATTATTAACCTTCCCTATGTCGAATGAATCTTAACAGTTAAGGGCAGTTTATTCATATTAACCAATCAGATGGTCTTCCTCTTATGACTTACGGGTTTCCAGTAAATCACGTTTTAGCAACAGTAAATTATTGACCAATTCGGTCTTCCCACGTTGTAATATAGTATATATTTATTTTTTGATGACTTTTTTTTTGATAACTAGAGTTTAGAATTTAACTTGTAAAATTTACGATGAAATTAAAAGAAATTCCTCGCACTGCAACATTTGCATGGAGCCCAGGGCAGCATTTGCCCATAATTGCTACGGGTACTGTAGCAGGGGCTCTTGATGCCTCGTTCTCAAGTACAACAGAATTGGAGCTTTTTCACATTGATATACACAGTTCAGATACTGCAGTGGAACTGCAGCCTTCTGCTGTAGTTAATAGTAATGCAAGGTTTGTAACTTAAACTTCTACAAGGTATTAATCCCAGATTTGATTCTAATATCGCAATTTTTTTATTTTTCTACAGATTTGATCGCCTTGTGTGGGGAAATGCAAATGATAAAGCATATGGTATCATTGCTGGTGGGTTGGAAAATGGTGAATTGGATTTATGGGATCCAGAAATAATCTTGGAGGGTGGCGAGTGAGTTCTAAACACTATTTTTTTTATCTATTCGAATCGATTATATGTCAACAGTTTAATTAATCTCTTTGAATGATTTGATACAGATATTCTTGCATTTGACTGACTTTACATTTCTCTTTATTAGCGCAGAAAAAGCTTTATTACTACGTAATACAGTGCATTCCGGAAATGTTCGTGGATTGCAATTTAACCCCATCCAAAATAATTTATTGGCTTCTGCTGCAACGAACGGCGAGGTATGTAATCTAATGTTTTCTAGATACATTTAGTTACTATCACCCAAATTTCATAAAGTCTTGCTTTGATTTCTTTAGATATTTATTTGGGATCTAGCGAAACCTGATAAACCTTATACCCCTGGTACAAAATCGCCAAAAATGGAGGAGATCACCTACCTGGCCTGGAATAACCAAGTACAACATATTTTGGCAACATCTTCGACTACGGGCTATACCTTAATATGGGACTTAAAAAACAAGAGAGAGGTTATGCATTTATCATATGCAGGTGCTACTACTCCTTTAGCAAGTGGTTATGGTATGGGATCTATGAACATGGGTACTGGTTTAGGCGTTGGGAGGAGGGGCATCACCGCAGTGGCGTGGAATCCTGACATGGTAAACTAAAAAAAAAAGATTTATGATATTACTCTAATATATATATACTTATCGACATATTATTCTACAAATTTTTAGGCAACACAAATAATAACCGCCTCAGAAGATGATAATAACCCAGTTATTGTAATTTGGGATGTTCGTAATGCGCATGCTCCAGAGAAGGTTATATCAGTCATCTAAAGTAATCTTTCCTAATTTAAATGCCGCATTTTGATTTGACAGTGTATATTTTTATATTTATTCAGGTCTTAACGGGACATGACAAAGGTATTTTGTCATTGTCTTGGTGTCGGAAAGATGCCGATTTATTGTTATCATGTGGTAAAGACAATAGAACTTTATGCTGGAACCCGAGAACGGCCGAAATAATAGGCGAGGTAGGTATTACGTATGATACAAAGAAAATATATTTGTCTCACAAATAATGATGAGAATTCTTTTGGGTGTTTTTTTGTATATATATATATATATATATATAGCTTCCGACAAGTTCAAATTGGGCTTTTGATGTTCAATGGTGTACTGGAAACCCGTATTTATTGGCATCTGCTTCTTTAGATGGAAAGGTATTTTGAATAAATGTTCTAAACCACTATTATTTTATCTTTTACAACTCCTGGTCTTTCTTTTTTTTTTAAATCGGTAAAAGATTAGCGTTCACTCTTTGCAATCCAATCAAGATAAATTAGTACAAGCTAATGTGCATGATAATGATGATCCTTTTGCACCAATTGCTTCTGCACATCAACCATATCTCTCACTCAAACAACCTCCGAAATGGTTAAGAAGACCTGTTGGTGTGATGTTTGGTTTTGGTGGGAAATTAGTATCATTTTGTGACAAAGCTTCTACAGGTGCTGCACCCAATAAACGTGTTATTACAATATCCACTATTGCAACAGAACCGGAGGTTGTGCAGCGATCCTTGGAGCTTGAGTCATCAATTGATGAAAAGTCTCTCGACGTTTTTTGTGAACGTCGAAGCAAAGAAGCAACAAATGAATTTGAATCGGAGAATTGGAAAGTTCTTCACAAAATATTTAATGAGAATGCAAGGGAGCAATTAGTTAAGCATCTTGGATTTTCAAAGGACGATGTCATCTCACAAATAACGACTGCGATAAAGGCCATGAATTTAAAGGGATCCGAGGAATCAAAGCAATCAGAAATAGATAATTTTAAGGATATTTTACGACAGGATAATACCATGGAGTCATCGGGTGTGGTATCTTTACCCTCGAGCCCTACCGATGTTAAATCAGATGCAGAACAAGGTCACGATGAACAATTTGTTGCTAAATCAGACAATATGGACGAATTATTTTCCGGTCTGACTGATCCCAGTGGACCTTCAGATGCTTCTAATTTCTTCAATTCTGGAGACATCCCTGATGCTTATCCTGTTCAAAGTGGAAATTTAAATATTGGTTCATTCAAAATTTATCCTGCACAAGAATCGGATGTCGATAAACTTATCACTCGATCTATAGTACTTGGTGATTTTGAATCTGCAGTAGATTTATGTTTAAAAACTGATAGATTGTCAGATGCAATACTTTTAGCGGGATGTGGTGGCCAAGAGCTTTTGCAGCGAACTCGAAAAATATACTTTGAGAGGCGAGCATCAACAATCCCATATCTGCGTCTTCTTCAGAGTATTGTCTCTGGCGATTTATCGGACATTGTATTTAACGCAGATTTATCCGAGTGGCAAGAAATTGTAGTAGTTCTTTGCACATTTGCTCGTTCTGAAGAATTTGGAGGATTGTGCAACGCATTAGGTCAGAGACTAGAACAAGAATATCATAAGCTTACTAGCCCTACTTCAACAGAAGAAATGAAATCAAGAGGATTAGAATACCGAAAGAACGCTGTATTATGTTTTCTTGCTGCTGGTAATTTGGAAAACGTAGCAGGTATCTGGATTGCTGAACAGGAAAATGAAGAAAAACAATATGAAACTGTACAAAATAATCAGGACGGATCGAAATTTACAGGCTCGAAATATTCTCATCACGCCAAAGCTCTTCAAGGTCTGATTGAGAAAGTTACCATATTTCGTAAGGCTATTGACTATGTTGACCCATCCGTGGCTCAAAGTTTAGATTCACCTACTACTGATCAACAATACAAGTTATCTGCCCTATATGACAAATACACTGATTATGCAGAAATTCTCGCAACTCAAGGTTGTTTGACTACTGCTCTTAAATATTTGAATTTAATACCTGCAGAATACAAGACAGCTGTACTCGATCAAAATAATTCTTTGGCTGTAATCAGGGAACGATTGTATTATTCTGGTGTAGATGTAGGGAGCACAAAAACACCTTTGTTCCCATTTGCACAAGTACACGTTGGAGCAGATGGCGAAATAGATCAATCTTCCGTCAATAATGATATAACTTTTCTGCCTCAAGATCCTAACATCACACAAGCTGCTTACCAACAAGCCGCTGCTCAACAAACATATTATAATCAGTACGCCTATAACCAGCAACCCATTGTTCCAAATGTTCCGTACCAGCCTCAACAACCTCAACAACCTCAACAGCCTCAACAACCTCAACAGCAAGCCCAGCAGGTTCAACAGAGAGCTTATAACCAATATATACCGTCTCCATATAATCCTCCGGTACAACATCCCACCGGCTACCCTTATCAGCAAAACTTTACCGGATATAATCAGCCATATCAAGAAAGTAATAATAATTTAATCCCTCAACCTCCTATGCCTCCTATGCCTAATGCGCTTGTTCAAAATGAAAACGTGCCGCCCGCAGAAGTTTTAGCCCCAAAGAAAAATGCACCAAACTGGAATGATCCTCCGGTTGTACCTTCTCCACAGACGAATAAAAGAACAGTACAAGCTCAAGTAAACAAGCCATTACCTATTGTATCTCCTTTTCCGGCATCCAATTCTCCAATGCAACAAAAGGTGCAACCCCCACCGCAGCAGAATTTTGCAGCGGCATCCACTTCCCCAGCGCAGCAAAAGGTGCATCCCCCACCACAGAATTTTGCAGCACCTCCACAACCGAATATACCTACCGGCTTGCCACCACCACAGGCAAATCGTGTAGCTCCTACAACAGCAGCGTATCAACCTGTTGTTGGTGGATATACTCCTGGAACAAACGCAGGGTACTCAGCATCCAATGCTGGATATAACCCACCGCCAGTTACTCAACAATATGTACCCCCTCAAAATCAGCCAGCACCTGTTGTTCAACCCACCAGAGTACCTACTCCATCAAAAACTCCAACACCCTTAAACAAACACCGTGAGTTTTTTGATTGACTCTTTTGTCGCAATAACATTTAAAGTATCAACATTAGAATATACTAAGATGTATATAATTTGTAGCGATCGGTGATAGAACCCATATTCCAGCTGCACAAAAACCAATATTTACTATACTCAGTAACGAATTATTGAGAGCTCGACAACATTCTCCTGTAAGCTAGAATAGTTATTTTATGCACTTTTGAACTCTTGTAATTGATTTGTTTTATAAATTGTTATGCTTGATTATCTTAGAATACGCAAAAAAAACTATTGGACGATACTGAGAAACGCCTTAACTTATTGTTCGATGCTTTAAATAATGAAGATGTTTCTCCAGGTGTTACTGAATCTTTATTAACTCTCGTTCGAGGTTAGTTGTTAATTTTGAATTGGCATTCTGATCACTGAATATTTTAAATTACTTATACAATTTTTTATGCATTTAGATTTGGAATCGCGTAATTTTCCTAGTGCCATGAACACTCAGGTGCAATTGATGACCACTAAAATGGATGAGTGTACGAAATGGTAATTACTTCAATTTATATTATTTTTCTGACGTGACCTTTCAATGTTTTAGCAATTTTTTTATACATATAAATTTAGGATTGTCGGAATTAAGCAATTGATAAACGTTCTGAAAAATCTTCAACCTCTTCAATAAGTAGTGCTTTATTCAGTTATCTGATTTTAATCTGGTATATATCCGGTTTGTATTATACATTTTGTTAATTTAATAAATGAATATACACAATCGAACATTATATCTACAAACTGGTAGTTACCGTAGCTTGTGTAATTAATTAAAAGAGAAGTCTAGATCGACCTATTCAGAACACTAAAAATAATATTGAATCTTAGCATAGTAATACCCTTTCTCGTTGTAGCTAAATTTGTATTCTATTCATCTATCGGACTTCGTGATTAGTTGATTTTTATAGATTACCTGATATACTGTATATTGTAAGAATATTATTGTATTAGCTAGTCAAAAAACTCAAATTAGATATCACGTCTAAATTATAGAATTTCTTAAAAAAAAAAAAATATTAATATTAATAAATTTTAGGATTAACCGTAGGGTTTAGAAAATGTAAAATTATTAGATATTAAATGCTTGGAAGTTTACTGTTATATTTTGTAAAAAAAATTTAGGAGTTGAAAATATACTGTGTATTGTTTAGTTTTCATATATGGGACCTCCCATAGGATTAATTTTACGTATAATTCTAATTTTTCCAAATATAGAATTTTTTAAAAAAATTTTTTTTAGCCCATCCTCCTGGAGGCTCTATATAGAAATTTCTTATATACCTATTAGGAATTTTAACATGTATTACAGTATTTATATAAACAATAAAGTTTGAATATTTATATAAATTTTTTATTTTTTTTATTATTAAATAATTTATTTATTTATTTATTTTTTTTTAATATTTAAGGTGAGACCTTGCTCTTATCTTTATTAAACTTAATGAAAACTTTTTA